TACAAATTGTAAAAAGTTAGATTTTTAAGCTTTCGTGACTGCAGGGATTCATATTCTTGGTTCTTTCGGTAAAGTCACCACGTAGAAGGGAAACAATAAAGTAATAAAAATATAAGACAATACAATTCTCACGAGGTTTCGACTGCAACACAAGCAGTCGTCATCAGGTGTGAAAACCACAGCAAGAAAAATTTCACACCTGATGATGATTGCTTGTGTTGCAGTCGAAACGTCGTGAGAATTGTATTGTTTTATATTGTTATTATTTTATTGTTTCCCTTCTACAGTGACTTTACTGAAAGAACCAAGAATAACAAATTGGAAGTTTGAGTGGCACCTTCATGTATACGACATTTAAGCAAACTATTCTGAAGCTAAAATAATACGAAAATACATTTACCAAATTTTGACCATGATGCCAGCACCTTATAGCCCGCTCTTGCAAATGTCGCCACGGTGGCGAGATGTTAACTGCCTCGCCTGGTGTGCGGGAGGTCGTGGGTTCGATCCCAACCCTACACCTCTATATTTGGAGTTTGCGTGTCACTCTGCCCGTGGTTGCATGGATTTTTCACCAGGTCCTCGGGGTTTCCCCTCCACATCTATAAACATGCGTTTAGTGTATTTTTTCTGCTTGAACATTTTCACATGATAAGCCACGTCATTGGCCTGTCATCTGTGATAGCACAGGTTGCTTTTGAAAAATATCTATATAGCTCATTAAGCCTTACCTGGTAAAATAAAATAAAATGTTTAGTTTAGGATCTTTGACGTCCGCGGTGAAGTAGACACTTCGTATTTTTACAGTTGATACACCAGCAGTAGATATCTTGTGCACCGTGCTTACCAGTGCACTTTCGTTTCACCCCACCGTCTGAGCCATATCCCTTTTTTTTATTCACAGTCGCATGATACTCCGGTTGAAGTAATGGTTAACTGGCACATTGACAGAAAGCTATCTTTCTATTGTTAACCCCATTTACACGAACAGCAAACTGTTTAAAACTGTGTCCAAGTATAACCCAAGTAGCAGTGTGACCCATGCATGATCCTACGAATACAAAGGGAGTCTCTGTCAATTTCTTAGAAAGGGGCCAATGTAAGTTTCTGCGGGATGCTAAATATTATGTTGCTCTCGCAAGAAATGCCTTTCATTTGCACAAATGTCACGAGGGTTTTACCATATGATAAGGCTCTCCTAAAACCACTTTAGCCAGTGGTGCGACAAGACAAAGAAGTGTGTTTACATTATCGAAAGCCACGTATACTGCTTTTGCTATCGTCTACAGATATAATTGTGCCTCTTGGAGGTGCAAGTTTCGCCTGTGGTGATGTTTTTTTTGTTGTTGTAAGAGTGTATTTCGATTTTTATATTTATTTTATCGTGACAAAGCTGAAAATAACCAAAACTGTGTAAGTGTACACCTCGAGATTCAAGACGAGCTGTCACACACGCACACACCGCGTCACTTTTTTCTTGTGACCAGGAATATTCAACGGCACAGCTCCTATCGCTCATTAGCACCCTTGGCTTGAAAATGTCATTCCTCGATTGAATGGAGCAGCGCTTAAAACCCCATTCAAAGTCCCTTGTTTGTGATGATGTAAAACAAAAAAAACCTAAACATTACAGGACTCTTGATTCAAATGTTAATTGAGGAAACTGCTTCTTTGGGAGCAGTTGTACTTTATATTATTATATGTGTGTAAATTATATATAACTAGGCTTTTTGCCCGTCCAAGGATGGGTGTATTGCAGTAAATCTGAAACTGTCAAGCGATAATCAGACCGCGACGTGATATTCACTGCATCAATGCATGTGCCATTTGTAAGGGCGCGGTGACACATACTTATTTCATGTTAAGGTTATAATCCCTTGTTCATCACGACGTCCTTTTTACTTCGATGTCTCAACAGCGTGACGGAGATCACGTGACGTGAGGGTTCTGCCTTTGTAGTGAGGGTTGTCAGTTGATGCCGAGGAGGGGGGAGGAGGCGCCTCGCCCCCCCCCATGTGGAGTGACGTCAGCCGCTAATTATTATTAACGAAGGGCAGGTCCATGTGGAGGACGTAACCTGTTCATGATTATTAATGAGGGGGGCTGGTCGACGTGGAGTGACGTCACGCGTGTTACACACTGACATTATTGGGTAAATATAGTAGTAAATTATATATGTGTGTAAATTATGTCACCGGAGTAACTTGAAAAGCGTCCTAGTACTTTAGCGTCCTAGTACTACAGAGCGGTGTTCAATAATTGTGTTCGTGGGTGCCGTGAATCCAGCTATACAAGATTCACTTCGATTAAGTTTCCACGAAATGTGTCCCCCCCCCCGGTTAGTAGAATGTCCAGTAAAGTGCGTGGAGATCTACGGTGTAACTAACCCCGTCTGAAAAGATAAGAGGGGCAGGCTTTAGGTTTTAAACGGGTCTCATTTTTTACGAAGAAATCAATACTCTCTAAGAATGCATTTGACTTTTATTCTGTGAGATTTGCCTGTTTATAAGTGGATTTATGCAGCATTTGATGATGATGATGATAATAATGGCATGATTATGCCAGTTGTATTCACGTATGTTGAACTTCTTTCACACCATACGTAACCAACCGTGCTTATCGGAGGTGCGAAATTCTGAACAGTCATCTGGTCAGAATAACCCCACTGATTCTCCAGCACTCTCTTTTCAGGAGAGCCCTTACATCCAGGCATTTGGTTAGCCAAGTCCATTGAAGGAGTCATTTGCATCTTGCCTGCAAGTCGTGTACATGTGTGTGTGTGAAGTCGCATAGTATAATTCACATGTTTTCATATCTCTCACGATTCTAGTTGGGGGAAATTTGCACGGTAATATTACATTGTGTATTGCAAAAACAAGTGCTGTAAACGCATGTTAATTTCCCCAAAATGTTGAATGTGTAGATTTTGCTCCTGTGAACATATATTCATGATGAATACGTTGGCAAGATTTTTATTATTATTATTTTATCAATTTATTATTTTATTCTCATTCTACGTGACTTTACCAAAAGAACCAAAGAAGATAATTAACTCTTTACTTGTTCCACTGTAACCGACATGTTTGAGCGTAATTGCTCATATCGGTGCCAGAACGAGACCAAATCAAATTCTTCTTCAGCGAGCCAGTGTGTACCACCCTGTGTCAGATAGTTTGTCTTGGAAGATGATATCAGAGATGCTTCAGACCTCACTTAAGTAGGTCCTTTTATAAATGCTGGAACACGTTAAGTATGCCCTCCAAAGAGGGCACATTTAACGTGTACCAACGTGGTTAATTCTCAGAGCTGGCATGAGCAGAATTTTGATCACCAAATTCGATATGCTTAGTTTATTGTTTTTGTACTCTCATTGATGACCATATTGGGACTTTCGACTAACTACAATCATTATTCATACTTTCAACATACCGTCATGATAAATTCTCACCATGCCATTCAACCTTGAGCATGAGAATCGATGTATTTTAATGAATTGATGCGTCGCTAGGTGACTATTAAAATGAATGTTAACAGTGTATAAATGTTTCGGAACTAAACCTATAAACGTTAAAGATCAGCAGAGTATCACGAGTATAAACTGTTGTAAAAGTTGTGAAGAAAACGGAAATAATGTAATAATTTCTGTTGAAACTGCGTTAATAAAGAATGGATATAGGCCTGCATATTTTCGCTGAATAAGTTTTGCCGGAGCTAATAAAAGAGATGGTGAAATGAATTAAACAAATATACCAAAAAAAATCCTCCAAGCGCCACTGTTAATTCAATTGTTTCAAAAAATATTCATGATGCATTCTGCATAAGCCTTGCCCAAAAACAAAAAGTGGGAAAGGGACAGTATGAATCGTGAAAGCAATAATCCTTAATTTTTAATTATTTATCAAAACCAATGAGCATCGATTGAAAGACCTCGGGTGATATATATAGTTCTAATTATGCCGATTCCATATTGTAATTCAAAGCACTTGCTGCTGTCTCAAAGCTAAACTATATATATTACATCGCCATTACCCATTAGTCATTTCAGTGTGAGTTTAAAGCTGTTGGAAAATTAAAATTGGAATGAATGGAAATCGTGCCACGGCATTAATGAAGTACTGGGATATCTTAAATCGGATTTAAATTTGATAACTTTTCTTGTAAAGGTGTCTTTTCTACGAAGAGCTGTATTAAAATAAAAAAAATGCATTTTTTATTATTATTATACAGGAGAGCTTATTTTGGAAAGCCCTTTTCGACTTTTTCTTTGCGCGTGCTAACACTTTATATGCGTCGGTGTCCAGCAGTGCACGCGGCGCGTTTAGTACGTGCCGTGTGCAGGTACAATAAAAGGTTAGGGTGCAGCTCCGAAATTGTCCTGCTCCTGCCACTGTTGACGGAAGGGCCTCTGCCAAAGGGAGGCTCCAGATGAAGCCCCCCTTCGAGAGGGCATTTGGCCTACTCTTCCACTCTTGCAATTAGTTGGGAGGTACCAACACTTGACCCCACCACACGCGTCGTGGCCTTGCCGATCGACTGCTGCCGAGTGGACAGAGCCGAGTGGGGGGCGGGGGGGGGGGGATTTAAAAAAAAGCTTGCCCCATCATTTCAACTGCACTGATCGTTAACATCACGATGGAATTCTCGTAAAAGGTACCGGAAAATCATAAAATATCGTAATCGCGCTGCATAACGTTTCATCCCACCTTGCTATTCAATGGATTGTAGCAATTCAGGATCATTTATTCAATTCGAGGATCAACAAAATGTTCTAATTGTGTTAAATGGTAGCGCTTTTAGTGGCTGCATGGGGTCACATAAAGTCATAATCTACAACATACATACATACTCTTTGTTTTTTTTTCGGTAAAGTCACGTAGGTAAAATGAAATAAAATAAATGAAAACAACTAAATTAAATCAAATTGATACAGCTAATTTTGCTGTGTCTGTTCCACCTGAAGACGGAAGCTTGTGTTACCTCCGAAACGTCGTGATTTAATTTAGTTGTTTTCATTTATTTTATTTTACCTACGTGACTTTACCGAAAAAAACAAAGCGTATGAATCCTTGCAGTCACGAAAGCTTCAAATCTAGAACATACATACATATTAACTTATAAACACGCGCATGACCCCAGTGAATTTATTGTTAACTTAAAAAACAATGTTGATAAATTATTGTATGCATCGTTACACCCCTAATAATCACGTTTAACCTTAAATATTGCCACTCAAAGTTTAATCTCGGGGGTACGAATGAATGTGGTGGGGTGTTGTCTTCGACTGGGGTTAATTCCAGTGTTGAGTTACTGACTCCCATCTCCTGAGCGTTGGGGTTCAAGACCTTCGTGGGTCAGATATAAATTGTCCTGACCCCTTTTGGGTAAAACACAGAAAAGCCGTGTGCGGTGACTGGCTCGGTCTCGGGCCCATCCACCGATGATTGCTCGCGGGGAAAAAAAATAACAACCCCCAGCTTAAAATTGGTGTTTGGCCCACCGGTTGGCCCGTGCCGCTCGCCCCTGAAGTGGTGTCCCAAATAAGCGGAAGAGCGAGTGGCTCGCTATAATGGGAAGGTTTGCAAGTTCAAATCCTGTTAGGAGGTCAACTCGGTACCAAGTTGTCCTACGGAGAGACCTGTCCCCTCCCCCCCCCCCCGCCCCCCCGCGACCATAGGAACGTGGAATTTCAACCACTGGCTCCGCTAGCTGTAAACAGCAGATGCGCGTTACCTCATCCTCGGCGGTTGGGCGCCCGCGCTAAAGAGATTTTCCATCTGGAGGGATTTTACAAACGAATTATTTTGTCAAATGTATTCAAATTATGCCGCGTAAAATAAACCGTCAGCGGTGGATTTCAAAGGGGCACACGTGCACTCTGGTAACGCGGGAGTGCGGTTGGTGAATCATTCAGAGATGGAGTTGATGTGCCTCAGAGGCACGCGCATAGGACGGGCAGTACAGGAAGTAGGTGCAGACCTACATGTACGAAACGTACGGGTTGAGCTTTGGTCATGTCGTTTTCTGTCCAGAGCTTAAAATTTGACGTCTTAAAAGGAAATGGCCAAACTTCTCATGCAGGACGTTCCTAAAATACTCAAGAGATGAATTAAAGTACCTTTTTTTATTTTACCTTTGCAAAAGAGGCAGTGGTGTTCCATGTGTCCCTATGGGTTAATTTGATTGAAGGATACAGTAACATATATATATGCAGTGCCTAAACACAGCAATCTAAATGTCTATTTCTATCTGTACTGTACATGCCACCACCTACTGATTGCTTAGTTAATCTTAACAATTAGCAATTCCCATTATGCTCACGGAAGGTGATGCAGAGAGAGTTGTTATTTTTTTTTCCACCCTTCCTCCGCCCACGACCTTATTATCTCTTGTGCTAATGCAGCCCTCCACTGGCCACTTAGTTAATTTTAACAATTAGCATTTCTACAGCTCCGACAGTGGTGCAGATTCCAGGCATTCTGCGAGCGCTCCCCCGCAGTTGCTGTGGAACCGCTGACGGATTGCACTCCGATCGCACTCGCAGATCGTTGCCGTCACCGTCACCTCCCATGGTTTCTCCACTGCTGGACGAAGGGCTTCCTCGCTGCTCCATCTCCCTCTTTGTTGACCCCTCTCGGCTGCGAATGCCTCCGCTGCGTTCGTATTCGGTCAACGATTTTCGTCCGTCAGCCATCGTCTCGGCTCGAGACGTGTCCTGGCTAAGTCCCGCTTGCTTTATTTAACACTCACGAGAATGCCCCTAATTTGCATTTGTTCCCTGATTCGTGCGTTCCGCTTTTCCCCCCCTCTAAGTGTAATTCTCAGCATGATCGCTGCCAAGGTGCATTAATGGAGTCACTTGAGGAAGCCTCCGCTATTACGTCTCGGGCTGTTACATACCGAGGCGCGCCACAAAATTACTAATCACCCTTTAGCTGCCCAATGTTTCCCTCCTATTTCATCCACGTATCTGGTACCGCGCAGCCGTTTTTAAATGCTGTTTATTTGACATAGTCAATGAATCCTGTGCGTGCACATTTATTTCCTTGTCAACGCTACTCGCGCGGAAATAAAGGTTTTGTTTTTTGACGGAATCGACGCAAAGACGCCAAGTGCCACCGTAAAATAATGGATGTTTATTTTTTACGTCTTGGTAAGCTTATGAATCTACATGCTATATCAGGCGTCGTTTGTGATCGTAGCATTGCTGACTAATCCCTTCATCGTCATACAGACAGTTACTGGACATCTGTGAAAAAGAGCATCGTAGCTCATCGGAATCCTCTTCCGGTCTCAATGAAGATTCGGATTCTGAGCGAAAGCAGCGCACGTGTAAAGCAGCGCTAAGCGCAAGCGGCCTATTACAATGGGTCCCGCAGTGCAGTGAATGGACTTCAGGGTCACAATTCACGGGGTTGTTCGTGCTCACACAACAGGATGGGTCGGCTGAACGGCATATGCACATTTTCTTTTTGTTAAGCACGGGCTATTGTTCGCTCGAGGCGAATGGCCAGAGCTCAGGTATTAACTTGTGGACATTTGCTGGGCGCGCTAACAGAGGAGAGGCTTTGTGAGCGATGAGACCAGCGGGGAGCCTTGCCGGAGGGAGTGGCAGGTCCGCCTTCCAGCTGGCACAGCTCCCTCGAGCGGCGAGCAGTGATCGAGTCACCCCCTCCAGACTCGCGACGAAGGGGCGACGCGGGCGACGCGGGCGACACGGGTGACACAGGCAACACGGGTTACGCGGACGACGCGGACGACGCGGGCGACGCCATTGACATGGGCGATGCAGACACCATCCGCCGTGCTGCCTTTACGAAGACTGTAACCAGTGCCACTTGTGGACGATGCCACGACAGGTTTTGTGCTTTTTTTTCCCAACGGCTTTCGGACAGGGCTCGGATAAGGGCGAGTCTGCTGGTTATGGTGTAATAATATGTTTTTTGTCCCGACTGCAAGTGCCATGTTCGCGTGATTGCGTGTCGCCTCCCCAGGCTGCGGCTGGACTGCGTTCACACGATGTTCCTCCTCGTGTTATGAATAAGCTTCAGGTTGCTGTGCATGGGCTGCAAGGGATCCTTTTCGCTGGGAGGTTGACCGACGCATGTGTTTGCGTGCGTTCGGAATTGAATGGGGTTGCAGTTACGAAATGCTGTACGCTTGACCTACTGTCGTTACACACGCCACGGTGGCAAGATGCTATCTTCCTCGCCTGATATACAGGTCGTGGGTTCGATCCCGACCGTGATGCCTGCTTTATAGTTGGAGTTTGCGTGTTCTCCCCATGGTCGCGTGGATTTTTCTCCGGGTCCTCCGGTTTTCCCCCCCAAATTTAGAATCAACGTGCGTTTAGAGTATTCGGCTGCTACTGTATACATTTCCACGTGATAAGCCACCTCGTTGAGCTATCATTTGTGACCAGGTCGCTTCTGAAAAATAGCTAAAAAAGAGGCATCTCGTTGGACCTTACCTAGTAAAATAAAGCAAATGTTTAGTTTGTTTGTTAGAGTGCAGATATCTGACGGAGGGAACAGCATCAGGATTTGGTGCAATCACACCTCCGGTTGGCGTGGTTGGCTGTTCATCACGCGATCTCCAACCCTCAATTATCAGGATGACACCAGCTAGATGGGGCTTGCCTGTCTTTACCGCATAAGAAAGCAACATATGGGGATTATTAGCTGAACAAACAAACAAAAACAATCTCACGGTACAATTTTTCCCCATTATTGAAAATAAAATAAGGTATGAATAAAATACACTGACAATTATACCCATTAACCTTGCTTTTCAAATTGCACAAAAGCAATGCTGTCTTCTCCAAACAGTTTGCACAATGGTCAGCCACAGAAGAACCCCTCTTAACGACGGTAATTGATTCCACGAAACCGTTCGTGAAGTGATTTGGTCGTTAAGCGAGAATAGAAAATACATGTTAAAGGCTCTATTCGTTCCAATGGCATCGAATGTAAACAATGCCCCAACGTTCATGAATGGACGTCGCTGATTGGCCAAGGCCTGGTCAGACCACTTTGGAGCTCGCCGATTGGCCGAAATTGGCAGGGGAATGGTCGGTAAGCGAACACTTTGGGCTCTATGGAGGCCCGTCGTTAAGCGATTGGTTGTTAACAGGGGTGGTCGTTCACAGGGGTTCTACTCTTCACTACCAGACACTACAGGGTGCTTAAAAAAACAATGTTAACACTTCTGAGAATTTGCAACAACACCACGTGACATATGCTGCTGCCTCTGGGCTCTGGAGACCACCTGGGGACGATTCCAGGCCACGTGTTGACAACGATGGCGAACACGTGGAGACTCTTTGACTTTTAGAAGCTATTAACATTACATTTGTTATCATGTTACAGTGTATTAAAATGATATATACTCCACTATACGCTACAATATACACTACTATATACACTACTGTACACACTGCTATGCACTACACCATTCACTCCTGTATACTACACTATACACTACACATTGGGCTCTATGGAGGCCCGTCGTTAAGTAATTAGTCATTAACGGCGGTGGTCGTTCTCAGCGCTTCTCCTGTACTTGAATATTTTATATAAGTAAATAAACGAAGTGGGTTCTCACCCCCCACCCACCCCGACAGAATGTGTCCCACCCTCACTGCGGTGGTTGGGGGGGGGAGCAACTATACACAACGAGCTATTTTTGCCCACCCAAGGACGGGTGTGTATTGCAGTATATCTGAAATATTCAATAGAAACATTGTTCAGCTCATGATTATTAATGAGGGGGGGTTGCCCCATGCATAGTGACGTCACCCGTTAATGGTTATTGTGGAGGGGTGCGGCATGTGGAGTGACGTCACCCCCTAATGGTTATTGTGGGGGGGTGCGGCATGTGGAGTGACGTCACCCGCTCATGCTTATTAATGAGGGGGGAGGGGCCTCTTATGCAGTGACATCACGACCGAATGTAGCACTGTGCTGCTTAGATTGATTTTTTACCGTAACTTTCTGCAATGAAACGTCATATTTTAAGCGACTTTGCGTAATAAATTATCTAATTCAGCTCGACCTTCCTCTGCGTTCGTGTATAAATCCACCCACTCGTGAATATTAAATGAGGGGGGGGGGGTGGTTTGCCTTATGTGGAGTGACGTCACGCACGGGACACACGTTCTTGCCTCATTATAGTAGTAAAATGACAGAGGCTGTGGACCGCGTGCGATGGGGAGCTGTCCCTGGTGCTGAACGCGAGCCTCGCGAATGAATTCATCGGAGGGGTTAGGGGGGCGGGGAGGGGTGTTTGTTTGCTTGCGAACATCGCAGTTTCGCAAATTAGCTGCCGCCGCCGCCGCCGCGGCGGTGAAACGTTATTGTGAAATGATCACCTAATGAGACGCGTCGCCCGAACCTGTGATTAACCCTAGAGCTCGCATTAATTCTCTGGTGCTTGTGCACAAAATAGCAAGGATAAACTTAGATTGGCCAGTGAATATGTTCTCCTCTGCCTTTATCACACTCTGCATCGATGTGAATTAGAATGTGGATGCACAAGTAAGGAGCCATAAGTTACAGGAGCATGGTCAATTGGTGCGGCCTTCCCGCGGTGATCAGACATTAGATGTGATCTATCGCAGATAATTATCATTGCCAGTCACTGATTGTGATTTGTGTCTGACTCTAAACCACTTCTGCAGGAGACTCGAGATGGAAATGTCCAGTGAAGCTTACAAAGGATAACCAAAGCGTGTATTTATAGTAGCCTTTGCGCCGTAAGAATTGAGAAATTGCCAAACGTACTCGTTTATTTAAATACGGCCGCTTCATGATTCATAGTTGGTTTTGGCATCATTTCTCAGGGAATTAAAGCTGAGATATTCTTGCAGGAATCATATTTGATTCCTACGATTCAATACCGGACTATTCATTTCTCACCTGAAGACGATTGATCGTGTTGTGATCGAAACGTCGTGATTTTAAAAATTATTTTTCTATCTACGTGACTTTACCGAAAGACCCAAAGAATATTAATAATCCATTCCATGCATGTACACGAGTGAGCATCTGTGCGTGCGTGTACGCATGTGTCGTCTGTGTTCCGGGTGAGTGTAACGAGGGTAATGAGTGGTGACGCGGTCCAGCGGTAATGAGTTTGCCGCTTGTCGGGGCATCACGGTGAAGAGATGTTAACTACCTCGCCTGGTATACCGGAGGTCGGGGATTCGATCCCGACCCTGCCACGTGCTTTATATTTTGAGTTTGCATGTTCTCTCCGTGGTTGAATGATTGTTTTCCAGGTCTTTCAGTTTTTTTGCCTCCACATGTAGAATCGATGTGCGTTCACAGCATTTGGCTGCTATGAATGTCCACGTGATAAGCCAGTTTGTCGAGCTATCATTTGTGACCAGGTCGCTTCTGAAAAAAGAGCTGTACAGCTGAGTGAACCTTACCTTGTAAAATAAAATAAAAAATTGCTCAGTTTTTTTGTTTAGTTTTAGTATGCCTATCACGGTATTTACGAGTCGCGCCACCAATAACTCCACGATGCGCTTCCACAGACAGCACGGTTGAAGCAAAGCATCGAGAGGGACACGGTACACGTCTGGGCCACGGTGTTCGAATCCATACCGGTAGGAAACCCAAGGCAGACTCATGACTCACAGAGAATAGATTCGTTTCGATTTAAAGCTTTCGTGACTGCAGGGATTCACATTCTTGGTTCTTTCGGTAAAGTCACGTAGAAGGGAAATAATAAAATAATACAAAAAAATATTGCTGTGGTCTTCACACCTGACGATGATTGCTTGTGTTGCAATCGAAACGTCGTGATAATTGTATTGTTTTATTTGTATTATTTTATTATTTCCCTTCTACGTGACCTTTACCGAAAGAACCAAGAATAGATTAGTTGTTCACGGTTCGAATCCAGTGGCTAATGACGTGGGGCATGTATTGACTGTGAAATTTTTTGACAATGCCATGTGCTTGATGGTGAGCGTTCAAGGCTTCCCCTGACGTCGTTCGCAAGCTCCAAGATGGTTGCATAATGGCGCTGTGGTCGCAATTTTGAAAAATCGCCCACAGACGACTCGGACGAGCGGTGGCCGTTTCCGTTTTTAGCAGGCTCGTTTCCGAGTGGAAGTCAGATTGGTATACTCGTGCTTGTGTTAATATTATCAGACCAGTATGTCTCCAATCTTGGGTTCAAGTCATGCACAGAACAGGCATACAAATAGGCATTGGCTAGAGGCCGATCCGCTCGTGAACTCTAAGAAATGTACTGTTTATAAGTGGATTCATTTAACTGGGTTACTTGACTGAGTCTCATTGTCCGTGTGTCATGTTCAGCCACGTGCTAGAGCTGATGTTTGCTTATTCTGATACGACTATGTATATTATATCCCCGGGCAAGCACGGTTTGCTGTACAGTTTTGCGTGAGATTAATTTACTCTCAGCTCCGTCGTGCACATTTGCTAATTTTTCTTGCTTGCTTTTCACGAGTAGTTCACGTTTCTAACATTGCTTCGTGCGACCATTGCACGTCAATCTTAATTCTATCCAGCAACAAAGGGTTTTTTTTTCGTCCCCTTTCATGCACATGAGCACAAGTCGTTCCTGCGATTTCCCCCCCCCCCCCCCCCCGAGTGCAAATGTTACAGCAATGGTTACATTTTCCAACCTCCCCCCCTCCCCGACTCCTCGAGTTTACTTTTGCCGATTGAAACAACCCTGTTTCTTAAATCGAATGTCCCTCGTGTGACTGATGTGTACCTAACGGGCACTTAACAATCTGTTGGCTGGTTGGCCAGCAGTGGTAGAAAGCCTTCGGCCTACCCATAAGGACAGAAAGCACGTTGCCCAAATCGCCTCCATTTGC